GTTACTTCTTCCAAAAAGTAACTAAATTAGTTACTCAGTTACAAATTATAAAAGTAACTAGTTACCTCAGAAAGTAAGTACTGCGTTACTTTCAAGTACATTTTTAAATGCTCAAATGTGACCCCACCTCCACCCCTCTTTAACGGAACTTAAAATACATGTGCATGTTCAATTATTTATGATAAATCTGAATATTATAATGAGATGGACACTTAATACAACACATTATTAACAGAAACAATGTACACAAATCAAAACTATGTTAATGTTGCTGTGGGACAAAGTGAGACTAGCCTCCAATCAAATGCCATATATGTAGATATTATGTTTATATAGTGGATTGATACAAATAACGCAATAGATGTTTTGGAACTTTTGATTTTATTGCCCCTCAACAGGCCACAACTGGGCAAAATTAAATTATGCTTGTTAAGCACTATACCAAAAAGAAATAACAAATACTTCCATTTAGAGAAGGCTACTTTTGGATTATTTGGGCTCGCCATAGCTGTCTCTCGTTGACTGACTCGCTTGTGTTGTTCGTTGTGTGTCCGACTATGCGTGCTTTCGAACACCCGCCCAACTCTTCCTCTGATTGGCTTACCATGAAATTTTACTCAACCTCAGCCAATCGTCAGCATTTATGCGCTTGTCTTGTGCACTGCCCACTAACCAAGGAAGAACAGTAAAAAAAAGTCTTAGATCTAGTTCTGATCTATTCTGATGAAAAAAAGTTATTAAGATGGGAAGAGTAATCAATTAGATTACTTGTTACTGAAAAAAGTAACGCCGTTAGTAACGCCGTTATTTATAACGCCGTTATTCCCATCACTGCACATGGGTAACAGATAAAAGGTGTACGACCTTAATGTCACTGACTGCAAAAGAAACCCCAGTTTATTGTATTACTTCTGCATTCTGCATCAGCAAAAGTAAATATCTTTTTAATATATACTATAACTGAGTAAGAGGGAATCAAAATGCACACCAACTGAACAAATTCAAGAATTTTTTTTTTTTTTTTAGACCGTTATGAAGGGCATTGCAGCAGAAAATGGTATTCAGATATCTTGGAAATACAATAGAGTTTTAAGAATTGTTGTGACATTAAGCTCATGGGTTAAAATGTTGCTTTTCATACTTACATCTTTATTGTTATTAAAGATTTCTCCAAACAACAGATCTGGTATCTGGGTTTATTTGGATCATGTGCTTGTGATGTTGTGTTGTGTGTACAGGTTTGACAGCCTTGGTTTAGAACATTTTTTCTCAAACAGTAAAAAGACTTTTCCCTCTGGCCAATATAACAAGCTTACAATGTGAATGGCCTTCCCACTGTGTTGCCGAGACAAGAGATCAAAGTTCAAAACAAATTCTATAAATGAGTCAGCAGTTTACACAGAAGTCATCGTCTCTGTGTTCGTGATACAGGTAAATATGCTCTTTACTAGCTGTGTTGCATTTTCTCCTTACAGATAAAAAAAATCTGAATTTATGATGATCTTATTCTTGCTTTATCAGTATTATATATTTTTATATATTTAAATATATATTATATATTTTATGATCATTTTATGGATTTCTACAAGTCCCCAAAAGATATTTTTAATTTTGTGTCAATTATTTTCTTGTGTGCACAATATTTAAAACAATTAACCTTAAGACTTCAGGGGTCCATAGATTTAACTGTTCTCAGCTCTTGTCAAGTGTTGAGCAAAATATAATTTGCCACACTGATAATAAGCTTTAATGTTCATAAATATGTATTTATTATCATGTTTTATTCATAAAAATGTTTGTAAACCAACCAACTGAACAGAAATACTTTCCCACATTTTCTTCACCAGGGAATCATGCAGATAACATTTGCCTGTTTGCTGCTGCTTTGTGCAACTGTGCTCTCTCAGGATGCAAGCGTCTCTCAGCGTTACAGAAAATTCATAGAACAGCATATCAAGGGGGAAATGAGTGCGGACCGTTGTGATGATGAAATACGAAATAGAGGCATCTCCAAAACCAACAGCAATGAGTGTAAGGAGACCAACACCTTCATCCAAGCCACCACCAAGTTAGTTAGAGCCATCTGTGAGCGTGCAGGAGAGCCATATGGTGACATGACCAAAAGCCTCCAACCTTTCAGCATTGTAGTCTGTACACTGAGAAACCAGGATGCCAGACAACCCCGCTGTCAGTACCGTGGTCGACGGTACACCAGGAGAATTGCAATCAAATGTGAACAAGGCTTTCCTGTGCATTTTGAAAGGGATATTGTTCACTTTGAAAACTGATTAAACAGTAGCTGTGTACTCCAGCCTCCTGTTAAATAAAAAACATTTGACAGCTCACAGTTGTGTCTGTTCTTTAATACAGTCATGTGTAATAATTGAATAATTGATTGTAGTTGTACCATTGGAAACAAGATCATTAAACATATTTACAACACCACTGGTCATCGTCAGAAACCTTTCTTTTTATCTAGGAGTGATTGTACAGGCTATTGAAAAAATAGGCCAATAAATCCACTATAGATGTTCAATCAATAATAACTAATAAGATCAGCATGTATCGGGTTTTTCAAAACAGACATTAGCAACCTGTTTGATGGTGATCAGGAAAATGAAGCGCTGATAGAGACAGGGTTAATCTTTCTGCATGTAAACATGACCTGTGGTGCACATATACACTTTTTGATGGTATAATATATAAATCTTGTAAAGGAAGGCTGAAATAGAATAGACTTAGCCCAAATAGTCAAGTTCCTTTATATCAGTCCTGTAGCCCGTATCTTGAACTGTGACACAGCCTCATTATTTTGTTTTCCAAACATTATGTGGTTAATGTTTACAGTCCACTGCGTTCAAGGCTTCCCCAAAATTGAAACTGAACTTTGATATGTATTTGTTTAATTTAGCAGCGAAAGATGGCAGCAGTATGATGTGTTATTATAAAAGACAGCAAGGGGCAGAAAGGAACTGCAAGAGTCAATTCAATTCAATTCAATTCAATTTTATTTGTATAGCGCCAATTCATAACAGAAGTTATCTCAGGACACTTTTCAAATAGAGCAGGTCTAGACCGAACTCTTTAAAAAATTAATTACAGAGACCCAACAGTACCACCATGAGCAAGCACTTGGCGACAAGGGCAAGGAAAAACTGCCTGTTAAAAGGCAGAAACCTAGGATAGATCCTCCGGCTCTAGGTGGGTGGTCGTCTGCCTCGACCAGTTGGGGTGAGAGAGAGAGAGAGAGAGAGAGAGAGAGAGAGAGAGAGAGAGAGAGAGAGAGAGGCAGACAGAGAGAGAGCGAGAGACAGACAGACAGGTGCACAGCAACAACAGTATTGGCAATGGCAATCTAGCAGGACCATGGCAGGAGGCTCCACCAGGATCGGCAAGAACCTACGAGACGAGAAAGCACAAGAACTCCGGGGAAGATGTGAAGTTGGTAACATGCATTAATGGGACATGAATGAGTGCAGAAAGAGAGAGGAAGGGAGGAGCTCAGTGCACCATGGGAAATCCCCCGATAGTCTAGGCCTATAGCAGCATAACTAAGGGATGGTTCAGGACTCACCTGATCCAGCCCTAACTATAAGCTTTATCAAAGAGGAATGTCTTAAGCCTACTCTTAAATGTGGAGAGGGTGTCTGCCTCCCGAACCACAAATGGAAGCTGGTTCCGCAGGAGAGGAGCTTGGTAACTGAAGGCTCTGGCTCCTGGTCTACTTTTAGAGACTATAGGAACCACAAGTAGCCCAGCATTCAGAGAACGTAGTGTTCTAGAGGGGTAATAGGGTACTATGAGCTCTTTAAGATATGAAGGGGCCTGACCATGAAGAGCTTTATAGGTGAGGAGGAGGATTTTAAATTCTATTCTACATTTTACAGGGAGCCAATGCAGAGAAGCTAGTACAGGAGAGATGTGATCTCTTTTTCTAGTTCCTGTCAGTACTCGTGCTGCAGCGTTCTGAATTAATTGGAGCGTTTTAATGGACTTATTGGGGCAACCTGATAATAAAGAGTTGCAGTAATCCAGCCTTGAAGTAACTAATGCATGGATTAGTTTTTCTGCATCTGTCTGTGATAGGATGTGTCTAATTTTTCTAATATTACGTAAATGAAAGAAGGCAGTCCTAGAGGTTTGCTTTATGTGGGAATTAAATGACAAATCCTGATCAAATATAACTCCAAGATTCCTGACAGTGGTGCTAGAGGCCAAGTTAATGCCATCTAGAGTAACAGGGGTTTGGAAAAAACTTAAACTGACACTAAAATAATGGAAAATAAAGGAAAATATGCTCTTAGTTTTCATTATGTCATCATACTAATGACCCCCCCCCAAAAAAAAAAAATCAATGATAGTGATGGATCCCTAATACAATCAAAATATTTAATTATCCGACGTAGTAGACCTAGTATATGACAATATATACATTTCCTGATTTTACAAATTGACTCAGATTACCTGCTCCATTTAACAATTCAGATCAGCACAGATGTGTTGTGGGAGACCAGGACCACCAGTATATTTCTGTAGTTATATTAAGATTATAGGGATGTTTACAGTCCACTTGGTTCCTAATCGAAAACTGAACCAGTGGACAAGCATCTTGATTAGTTTGAATGAACTTGCTACCTTCATTCTCATTGAATGGACAAACCAGAAGATGGCAGCAGAGGAAAGCGAGAGCGAGAGAGAAAGAGACAGAGAGAGAAAGAGGGCTATTTGTGTTAACAAAAAGGATACACAGATATCCAAGTTGGAAGGACAGAAAGAAACTACCAAGTCATTATGGGAGTTAAAAGATAGTAAATACAAATATAATGCTACATATTTGACTATAACAATCAAAACAAAATGACTAAATTAGGTGCTTTAATCAAAAGTAAATATACCAAGCCCTGTTGGAAGTAAACTGCACACGTGTAGGTTAATTTTGAATGTTCGCTATTTTGCGTTAAGTCTAAACTGAAACATGTTTTTCCTAGTTAGGATTCTGTTTGCTCTACCAGAGGTGTAAAACATACAGCCCGATAGGCCGGTTCTGGCCAGTGTGTTGGGTTTGGCGGCCCATGAACTAAAATGAGTTTGAGGCCTTTGACAGCATCTTTATGAAGACAGCAACACCCACGCACTACAAACCACTAATTTATGAACAATGTTTTGATCACAGTCATATTTTGTCGCCACATTTTCAGATCACTTTGATCTTTGAACATCACAGGTGTTGAACTATGTAGCAGCTTTATCTTGGATGTTGCAGGCCGCTTGAATTTTTCACCCTGTCACTGCTCTCTTTGTGTGAACTTTGTTTATGACTAACCTTCAGTGCACAACCAAATATAGGATGATAGCAGTCCGTAATGTGACCTGACTCGGGTTATAGGCTTGCTGTTTTGTGCATTTAGAGGTGGGAGGTGTCACAACATAAAAAACATTTCAGTGGGTCATTTTGCCTCCCTCTGCTTTGATATTGTGTTCAGACACAATGGAGCAAATATTCTTTGATTAAAGCTAAAAATAATGTTTTTTAGTTCATAAAATTATGTTTGATGTGGTGATACTTTGCCTCTCTGGAAGACTATTTCCGATACCATCTGAGAGAGTAACAGCAAAGGTTTTCAGAATTTCTTGGAAATGGCTTGCAGCGGTTTAAATGAATTGCTAGTAAATTGTTAATTGTCACAGGATGAAAAAACATTGCTTTAGTGGTTTTCACAACATCTTTGTGTGTTAATTGTAGCGATGAATCATGTGTTTTCATGATAAGCAGTGTCAAAACCAAACTGCTTGTGCTGTCATGTTTGCAGATTGGAAAGACTTGGTTAGTTAATTTCCACTTTGGTGGTATACCAAAATGCCAACATGATGGCAGACCAATCGTATTGTTTTGAATCTATCTGTTCCCTCCCATTTTATTGTTCCCTCCCATTTAATAGAGATGATTAAGATTAATCATCCTGCAGTACAATCTAAATCAACTGCTGTCTCAAGTGGAATAACTAGAAAATGCTGATCATATTTTGCATAGCTCTCGTGTTCACAATTGGGCGTAAGTATGCACACAAAATTCAGTTTCACTTCTGTTTCTATTATTGTCACCTTATTATTGTAACTTTGATATAAATGATATATGGTATTCAATTGGTCTTTCAGGATGCACAGATGACCAAAGCTTTGTAAAAAAGACTGTTTGTCTTGGAGAAAATGTGACTCTAACTTGTAGTCGCCAGACTGGATCGCCAGGATACTTATTCTGGATCAGACTTGTTGTTGGAAAGTTGCCTGAAGTCTTAGGAAGGACGTATACTTTTGATAACGGCAACGTAAACAAGACTCCTCGCATTACAACAAAACAGGAGCCTGGAACATTTATTCTACATATTACCAAAACAGAGCTGAGTGATACTGCATATTACTACTGTCAACAAGTGGTTGAACTACAAACAACATTTCTGAATACAACCTTTCTGAGAGTCACAGGTAAACTGAGCAATAGTCACCTTATTGATCAACTTACAACTTCTGTTTTGAACAATGTACTGTTCACTCTTGCATTAAATATAAATACATTTCTGCAATTCAAACAAAAATATATTTTATAGGGAAGGTTGGCGATGACATTTATGATTTTAAATAAGCACTTGAGTACTTACTACACATTCTTCTTGTTATGCATTCTATATAATGGAAATACAGAAATATTCCAATATATTTTCCAGGACCAGAACTTGATATCACTGCCGCCATTCAAGTCCCTCCATCTGATTCAGTCCGTCCAGAAGACCCAGTGACTCTGCAGTGTTCAGTCCTCTCTGACTCTAAGAAGAAAACGTGTCCAGGAGATCACAGTGTGTACTGGTTCAGAGCTGGATCAGGAGAATCTCATCCCAGTTTAATTTACACTCATGGAAACAGTGGTGATGAATGTGAGAAGAGTCCTGAGGCTCACTCTCCACAGAAATGTGTCTACAACTTCTCTAAGAACGTCAGCTCCTCTGATGCTGGGACTTATTACTGTGCTGTGGCCTCATGTGGAGAGATATTATTTGGAAATGGAGCAAAACTGGACATTAAAGGTAAACACCATTTTGCATATTTACTCTTTTTGAAGTCTAGTATATATCCATCATTTACCAGGAGACGACATTAAAGACCTTTACTTTTACTCCTCATTAACTTTTGTCGTATGTACTTTTTCTTAATATTTCAGCTCCCACGTTTGGCGAGTCTCAGTGGACCAATACCATTCTGTTTCTGTTGTGTGCTGCTTTGGCTATAAGTTTGATTGTTATAGCCTTACTGATGTACTCCGTCAAAGAAAACAGGAAGTGCAATTGTTGTAATGGTAATAAAATTTACTTCACTCATGATTTAGCTAATTTTACTCTCTAAACATAGAGTGCAGCATGAAGTCCTATAACCCGGAAATTAGTATTAGTATTTAGTAATTTTTACTCGTCCAGTTCCTTCTCTTCAGAGTCAATGTTTTTTCTTTAATGGGATTTTGGTTAGATGTCAGAAATAAGGTCTAAGATTAACACAAGCTTTTTTCATGTTTTTTTCCACAACATAATATACATCAGTAAATACCCCACCTGTGAATTTAGAAGCTTTTATGTGTCTTTAAAAAGGTGGTTGCTAAAAAGTGGGTAAATGACATTAATCTACTCAGTAGTCGGCTTTTTTACTCTCTTCTGAAATTCTAACACAAACTCTGCAATTAGCAGATTGTAATTAAAAGATTTAATTACAAGTGGTTTGTTTGCAGCCTAATGTTAGCTTTTTACCTCTTGTGATGTTGAAAATCTTGCTGAGCAAAACGTGTAAATGTGATAAACCTTTGAAATTAGTCAGCATTGGCTTAATTTCTACAGTAATACAAAACCCAGTGGAAAAAAACTGTTTTGTTGAAGGAACCAGGGCAATGCCAGGTTGGCTAACAAAAATATGTCCTCCCTGCAGCACTCCATTAGTGACATGTTTCTTGGCTGACTCCATCATTTAAATGAAAATAAAATGAAACCTGTTCATCTTTACATGCTGATTGTTATTTATGGTTTATCATGTTCTAATACAGCTGCTGATGCCCTGCAAATGAATGCTGCAACAACCACTGGTCATCAGCAAAGTCTGCGGGTAAGTCATTTATTTTAAAAATTAAATGTTTAGTTGGTAACTCCCACCTAATAACATTTTCCCATATATTTATACAGACAGATGAAGACTGTGTCATTTATTCTGTGCCAAACTTCACTGGAGAGAAGGCTGGAAGGAGTGTAAGGAGAGGTGCAAATGCAGGCGAGGGAAAGAGCATCTACTCTAACGTCAGGGTTGTGGAATAGCAACATAAACCGAAGGTCTTAATTGATGTTTGTTTAATGCTTGTATAGCACACCATGGGTGATATTTAGCAGCATATTATGTTATAAAGCAAATATGTCAGGCATGATATACAAATTTTTATATTTATTTACTTTTGTTTTGTTTGTCTCACAGTTTTATGATGGGCCCACAAATGGGCTTTTTGTTGCGAGGTCAGTGTTAAACGTGTTTCCAACCTGTCTCTTTTGTATGTACAAGAAATTTCAATTTTCACAGCTATATTCAAGCTTTCTATGTCAAAAAAAGCCAAATCATAATGTTCTTGGACAACTAACAGGCAAATGTAATTAAAGAAGTCTTGAAAACCTAACCTACGGTCTCATCTCATGTTTGAGGAATCAATTGTACCTTGTTATAAGAAATGTTGGGTATGTGTGTATAATATGTTGTACAACCATACAAAATGATCCTGCTGGCTTTTTGCCACTTTTAATGCGTTCAGTTGTGCTGAGCCGTGCCTGAGATGGACCTTCTCAAGAGTAGGGCCAAAGCGCACTCCAACCGGCTCTAGTGATTGTTAGCTGACTGCAGCTCCTGCTCCCCCTTAAAGAGTCAACTGCTGTCATAAGAGCAGAGAGAGAGAGAGAGATGTTTTTAAAAGTCTCTGAGTGTTCAGCTCTTTTGTAGATTCTAATTGAATCTCTGTGGTTTGAATTTTAGTTTCTCTGCTCCGTCTCTGTTTGTACTTTCAAATATCTGCTTTATTTTACTGTTTTATATTCACTTTCGGTTCTATAGTAGGTGTGTTTACTTACTTGAGTTGCAGTCTGCTACACTGTTAGATGGCACTAAATCCTACACAATTCATTCAGGTAGTGGTCGAAAGAAACCAAGTATATTTACTCAAGTGAAATAGCATGACTAAAAAAATAGAAGATCAGCAAGGTAAACATAATGGACATATGTTAATGGTCTCAAAGAAAGTGTAGGTAATGTGTGTTTGAATGTTTGTATTAGAGGAAGTGATATAACGATTGGAAAAATACAAGTAAAAATAAGAAAGGGGGTGCATTATTGAAAACCAACTAAATAATATGAAGTAGTTAAAACTAGCTCTACCTAGAGAAGCTGTGTCTGTTAAATGCTGCTTTCTCGTGTATCAGTATTAAAAATCTGATAATGTCAAAATAACATATCAGTCACTAACAAGTACTTTTACTTTTTTTATTTTTTGAAGTATTTTGCTGATAATATTAATTTTTACTACAGTAGGCATCCACTGCCCACTTTTAAGAGAAGTATAATGCAGTTTGTGTGTTTGAAAAGCAAAATGGTTCAACAACAGAATTGCTGTGGATGTGTGACACATCTGACCCAAAAGCTAAACTAAAACTAAATCATTTGATATAATTTGTCTGTTGCACGATATTTAACATCATGTGGTAACCATGGTACATTTAAAAGCTGGCACATGCACAGTCTGTTTGCCCAAGACTCAACAAGTGTCCTCTTGGCTGCTGTTAATTGTTTTAGGTTATTATATAGTTATTAATAGTTATAACTATATATTAGTTGTGTTATTAATGTTTTTAAATTAATATAGATAGATAGATAGATAGATAGATAGATAGATAGATAGATAGATAGATAGATAGATAGATAGATAGATAGATAGATAGATAGATTCATCGCTAGTAGAAGATAGATAGATAATTAGACAGCTTATTCAGCCCCAAGGGGATATCCACAAACTGTTAATCAATAATAATAATAATAATAATAATAATAATAATAATAATAATAATAATAATAACAACAACAACAACAAGAGGAGGTCAATTTAGAAGAACTAATAGAATAAAGTAGAATAAATAGCTAAATAATGAGCATGGGGCTAGTGTCCTAAGGTGCATGGTCAAATCAAGTGATTGAAAGGCCTAAGGTGCATAAGTAGTGTCAGTAAGTCAGTGGTCACATAATGCAGGGTGCACTGCGTTAGGTGGTATAGTTAACTAAAGGGCAGACATAATGGAGTTTAGAGTTTTTCTCCCCTGGGTGGAGTTGAGGAGCCTGACGGCGTGGGGGAGGAACGATCTCCTCAGTCTTTCAGTGGAACAGGACAGTGACAGCAGCCTGTCACTGAAGCTGCTCCTCTGCCTGTAGATGGTGCTGTGCAGTGGATGCAGTGGATTGTCCATGATTGACAGGAGCCTGTTCAGCGCCCTTTGCTCTGCCACAGATGTCAGTCTGTCCAGCTCTGTGCCCAACACAGAGCCTGCCTTCTAATGAAGGAAAGATACACTAGTATCAACAAAAAAATACATATATTCTCAATGGGCAGTTTTGCTTGTCTTTTAAATCTTCGTTGTCCATAAAACGAGCTTTGTGATGTCGCCGCCACTTTGGGAAGTCTAAACTGATTTTCAGCTGTTGGTAGAGCGGCTCATGTGGATGTCTGTCATGTATATCTGTTAATATCACAATGGATGTGCACTATGTTATGGCATTATTTGACTGTTGTGCCCATGCGAACAGACACCTCTCAAAAATCACGTGAAAACAGATATGAATGGATTCTGTCCACAGAAACACCAGAGATCTTTTAACTTGAAAAGGATACAAGCATACAAAAGGATTAAACTTTTTTTTTTTTCATGTCTGTGACATATTCTACAGATATAGACATTGCAGGTGTTAGTTTGCACCCTCACACATGGAGGGATCTTTTTAAGACATTGAAAATCGATGTCCAGACCAACTTTATATGGTACACATGTCACCGCCATAAAGACTTTGGACTGGTTTTGCAATGAAGGTTTTCTAGAAAATTGTTTTCCATTTAAGCAATGGAAGCTGAGAGAACATCCTCAGTTTCTATTTAGACACTGGCTTGTGAGTGTGTCACTTTGGTCAAGTAACGGATTGTCACTGAAATGTGATGCTGCAGTTTCACATAATTCTCTTCTATTCGGACTGCCCACAAAACCTCAAGAGGCATAAAGTTGCATAAGAACAGGAAATGTTTTGAACCTGTCTACCTATCACCGCCGTCTCATATCATCAACTTTACTCTTTAAAAAAACAACAAAGAGTCAACATCAAGATGATCCTTTTATGGATTACACTGCTTCTTCTCCATGGAGTATGTAAGTGTTATATAAATCTGTCAAAACAATTATGTTACTTGGTTTGTTTTGTTTTTTGTTTTTTTACATGTACTAAGCAAATTATGGCCCATTTCTCTTTACAGTTGGTATGTATCATTTCATAGGACAATATTGTACATTCTGACTATTATGTAATAACAATTATATACTCTCTATTGTCTTTTAGATGCACTGATCCCAGTGACCACAGTTCAACTAGGTGAATCTGTGACCTTCACATGTCTCTACCCTGATCTGGAGTACAGCAATACACGGATCAAGTGGTACAAACAGACTTTTGGTGATACTCTTGCAATTATTACTACACTGATGAAAGCTACTGCAAGTCCGACATTTGAACAAGGATTTTCTTCTTCACGGTTTAATGCAAACCACACTGAAACCATGAGCACTCTGACCATTTTGAAGACAATTGAAGAAGATGAGGCACTGTATCACTGTGGGATCACCACCTGGAGTAAGGATAGGTGGAGTGCCACATATTTGACTTTCAAAGGTAATAAATGTCTCTCTGTTGTCAGTTTTTTCACAAATATCAGATTGTTTGGGTGTCACAACTCTTTCTTTGTTCATTTACAACTTCAACTTCTTCTATGACCTTTTGACATTTCCATTTTGATGTTCCAACACTGATTCTTTAATTACATGATACAGACAACAAAACTTTTATATTTTGTAGGAAACAATCAGAGGAGGACAGACTATACTGTTGTTCAGCAGCCGACAGTATCTGATCCAGTCCGTCCAGGAGACTCTGTGACTCTCCGGTGTTCAGTCCTCTCTGACTCCGACGATAAAGCATGTCCAGGTGAACACACTGTGCACTGGTTTGGAGTCAGATCAGATAAATCTCATGCAAGCATCATCTACACTCATGGAAATAGTCTTGATGAATGGGACAGGAAACCTAAAGCAAGTTCTTCTCCAAAGAGCTGCGTTTATCACTTCTCCAAGAACGTCAGCTCCTCTGATGCTGGGACTTATTACTGTGCTGTGGCCACATGTGGAAGTATTATATTTGGAAGTGGAACAAAACTGGACATTGAAGGTAAACACCATTTTGCATATTTACTCTTTTGTCTAGTATATATTCATAATTTACCAGGAGATGACATTAAAGACCAATTATATAATTTTACTCCTCATTAACTTTTGTGGTATGTACTTTTTCTTAATATTTTAGCATCCAACATTACACTACCCACGTTTGGTGAGTCTCAGCGGACCAATACAATTCTGTTTCTGTTGTGTGCTTTTCTATTTATATTACCTTCTTAAGCTGTTTCCCATTGACCGCATAACATATGTTCTATTTAAGGTTGTTCAAACCCAATACTTAATGTATCAAATGGAAATATTCTAGATCTCCTGTGAGTTTGAGCAATGTTTGGCTGTATTTGCAAGTCAGTATGGTTTAAAATAATTCATGTGTTTAAGTAGTTTTGATTAAAGGTCAAATAAAGTCCATACAGATCAAGTGTAAGAAAATATTTTTTGACAGGTAAAATCTTTTATGATGTTACATTTTCATTACTTTGACTAAATATCATTATGTGTTTGTTTTCGTGTTTCAGGAACCAGCTTGTGGTCTGTTGATGTTTTACAGAAGGACAGTATAATTCTGTTTGTGCTGTGCGCTGTCTTGGCTATAAGTGTGATTGTTATAGCCTTCCTCATTTTCACCATCAAGAAAAACAAATGTGATGATTGCAATGATAAAGGTAATAGGAGTTACCTCACTATATCACACATTATTAAGTTTATATCATTAGTGCTATAAAGTGTTGTATTACACAACTGTATCCTTATTTATCTCTTGATTTGGTTATTTTTTTCATATTGTAGCTGCTGTTGTTTCCCTGCAAGAAAATGTTGCAAAAAGGAATTTAAAGGTAAGATCAACTTATCAAAGAAGTTATGATGCATCTTGTTCTGTATTTGCCTTCACACTCACATAATTTGCGATACATTTCCTCAGAGAGATGACACATGGATTTATTCCACTGCCGTCTTTACCATGGTGAAAACTGGCACTGGTGGAACGAGGGATTCAAAAGCAGGGGACAGAGAGAGAATCTACACTGCTATCAAGGCTCTTGGATTAGATTAGAAAGTTAAGTGGATTGTTTGAGATCAGTTAGTGTAGTTATATGTGACATATATAATATTTTGTTATTATATGCGACTATTACATAATGTATAATATATATCTTGATTTATTGTTTTGTTGTTATGATTAAAACTAGTTAGAGACTGAATTATGCAATGCATTTTATTCCATTAAAGTATCTTAGACTTCAAATTGTGTGAAACAGTGATTTGTGAGTGAATCTATCTATGCTGCTGTTACACTAATACTTTGCTGTCACATGCACACTTGATGTGTCAACTGGGTTGTTTTTAGAATTTTGCTCTAGAAAAAAACCCCTGCAAAAATGTTTAACATGAGCATTTCTAAAACTAGATTTCAACCAATCATGGTAAATAGTTCTAAATGCTATATTGGTGAAACGTAGTATATAATATGGCCATGTGATTTAAATCCAAACTGGAACGTTCTGTTGTTTTAATTTTTAACGTTTAAAGGCTATGGTGCCAGTTAATAAAATGCATGACAGGAAATACTAACCAATAACAGTGAAAAAATAAAAAAAAGTCAGTTATTGGCCTGTTGCATCCTCATGCAGCTAACAGACCACAAGGCAGGAAGCTTTTACATTTAGTCTCTGGGTGTTGTTATAATAAAGGTGTCAACCCGTTTTTCAGTCCTTTTGTTGATGACCTAACTACTGTAAATTGTAAAACATAATTCAGAATTTCAGAACACTGTGTCAGTGTATAAAACAAACTTGGTCTTTTACAATGTGAAATTGTTGACATTGGTGTGACAATATACTAGACCCACATTTACATAATTTTTGTTAATCTGTTTTTATTCCTTATTTCCTTAAAATGCTGTGCACTATACAATCATATTTACCTACAATAATAATTTTACTGGCAGACGATCAACCCGCATAGGCTGACAGAAAGCACCTAAATAAAGTGTAAGGTACCTTTAAGGAAAAAAAAAAAAAAACTTTATTCAATCTGCACTTTATCCATCTGAGAAATATAAACAGCCCTTATTTTATGTTGTTTATTCATTAGTAAAACAAACAAAATACATTCAAACAGCACTATGCTATACTGTGGTGGTACTGTGCCCTGTAACACATTCTTTTCTGTTTCTGACTTGTGGCGCCTAAAGGACTATGGCTGTTTTCATACCAAGCATTTCGTCTGAAAGACCTGGAGCAATCATTTAGCAAAGAGTGAGAATTTGAGTTTCCACAAATTTCCACATCGTGGGCTATACAATTTACAGGAGCTGGGGATCGAACCGCCAACCTTCCGGTTAGTGGACGCTCTACGTCTGAGCCACAGCCGCCCCGTTTCTCCACTTTCTATCTGTTTGGAAGGTCTCTGTTCTGTATCAAAAGCTGCTGGGTGCTGGGCAACCACTTAATATCCCTTTTTGTGCGAATTATGGGACCACAGTTAGAGCAAACAATAACAGAGTCGTCACAAGGTGTGTGCAAGGTCCTGTGTGAATATGCGTGCAAGATTCTGGTCATACACACCCACAACACACGGCTAGTTTTATGCAAACATTTATACAAATGCAGTTCGAAGTAAAATGCACAATAGTAAAATGAATAGCTTGAAAGTCACTTTATTAGCAATAAACTCAGGTGAACTTCATCAAGATGAGCTTGAACTATAGGAAGGGACTGTGTAAAACCAAAGTATATTCAAAGAAAGCTAAACATGATTTACAATTGGACAGGTTGGATTATTCATGAACTGCCTAGAAAGAGGGGTGGTGCTGTGTGTGGTAGTGTGCGTTCACAGCAGAGTACACACACTCTTGTGGTGACCCTCTCTTTTTCCTCACTCTTCTTGTAGAGAAATCCAGTGCTGCATAGTTTACTTCCTCTGCGTCACCATCCTACAAATAATAATTGGCTTTAATAATTCATATTTTATAGATTAGTACTGTCAATAACAATCACAACCAAGTCAAGAGTACAGAATCTAATCATGTGCTATTGAGTATCACTCTTGTTCACATCAAGCACTGTATGTAGCAATGGTGGGAGTTAACTGTTGCATATTCTTTTATGCAGGGTTGTTTGACAACCTTAAAAACTGGCTGAAGAAAATAGTTAACTTTTAATAAAATCTGTCAGCTATGTGAAACAATATAAACAAACTACCCGAATATGAATTATTGAATAACACAGGACTAAAGAATGGTTGTAAAACTTTAGTTAAGTCAGATAAGAGTAATGATCGTAACATAGTTGAACTCCCTCGCATCTCCATCCTCTTTCAAGAGTGAAGGAGAAACTACAGTTCCCATGAAACATGCAAAAAACGCAAAAGGTGTCAGAAGTTTCATTATCTGGATGCAGTCTGACGAGGTATATATGGTAACTTATGTGTACATCTCATCTTTAAGCATATATGTGTGAGACATACATGGAAATATACACTATATACTGAATGTAGTTAACATATTTAATATATCAGATTTATTTATTTGTGACAGCTTCTCCTCGCAGGCTCCATCCCACCAAGCTCTAGTCTAGTGTAGGCCCCCAGGAACCAGTGCTGACCTGGCCAACTGTGGTAATACAAGTTATGTGATGCCATGGGCGTCAAAAAGACTAGTTCTACATAGGGAACAATTCCATACATAAATCGGATATAAGACAAAATATGTAAACTACATACAGAATATAATATATATGCCCATGTACTGTATGTCTCACACATACAGTATATGCTTATAGATGTGATGTATATATAAATCAGGCCAGCTAACAGTCTTGCCTGGGCCCGGGACGAGATAATCTTAGATGCCCCCCCAGCGCCCAGATCTCTCCTTTTCCCTATATAATAATAAATGCTATATATTTTCCTTAGTTGACTTTTTCTCTACTTCAAAGGAGAACAGCAGGTATGGTAGGCAAAATAAGGCCTTTTTTGAGCTGCTATATACTATCCAGTCCCTATCGATTTAATGCCTTCCATTGTGACTCTCTCTCTCTCTCTCTCTCTCTCTCTCTCTCTTCTCTCTCACCGGTAGCCTGACTCTGTCCCTCCGTTGCCCTCCCGCATCACTCTCTCTGTCACCTGACTGCAGCTGGATCTTTCTCCTCTCTGTCTCATCCTCTCTGACGGAGCTACCAAACTCAACTGTTTCTGTCAAAGAGAACGTGTTGTGTCAGGCTTTTATACAAGCTGATGGACGTTAACATTAGAGCTGGCCTGTTAGGTTACGTTACAAGGCTGCTAAACGTTGGCTACGCTGTTTCTTACCTTGCTCTACGTTGACTTTACTAGTTCCAGCTTCACCGTCACCACCTTTTTTTAAATATTTGTTTAGAAAATCTCTAAGGCCTCTTTATTTTCTTGACCACTGAATTTCAAGGACAATGACAACATCAAATTTTGATCATAAGCTTTGATCATAAAACTTTGATTTTTGGGTGGGGGGGGGGGGGGGGTTACACTATTTCAAGGACAATTAGGAAGAAAACAACTAAAAAGCTTTGATGTAACTCAAATATTACATATTTTTTTGACAAATAGGCCTATTTTAATTTTTTTTTTTTTAATTATTCCATAATTTAATGAGGGCCCAGTTCTGGGCCCCCCACCCTACCCTGGGCCCGGGACGACAGACCCGTTTGTCCCCCCCTATCGGCGGGCATGATATATATCACCATATACACTAATACTATATACTAGTATTAGTGTATTAGACTATATCTGGAAGACATTAAAACTGAATTAAAAACACTGTTCTTTCCAGAGCTGATGATGGAAGAAGTTAACGAGTGAGCCATCTCGCCTTCTTCTCATCTCTGTTGCACATGTGCAGTACCGATCACGTACGGATCAGGTACCAAGACGCCTTTTCATTTTCTTGGCTTTCTATGGATTTTCCATAAATATCACACAAACAAAACAAAAAACATTTCCAGTTAGTTTTAAAACAGAAAAACCAAATTTTTGGTCTTGCCGTTGTGGAAAAATTTGCATATAAATATATTTACCATGTCAGTTAGTTGATCCGCTGTCATCCTGTCATGTCTGGGATTATGGGAGGCAGTCTTTGCTCCTGCTGATAAAACCAAACCTTCAGAAAATGAGAAAAGACTGGGAACTGCTGGCAGGTCAATGTGACGACCTCACAAGACCTCACAGTTTCAGTTAGATGATTGACAGTTATACATTCACTCTTCTGTATCTCATTGTAATGTGGGACACTGAAGAAATCCACAATCAGTTGTTCAATGATATAGTTTTGAAAATACATTTCATGTGATGTTATTTGGGGTTGAATTGTTACGATCTCTAGGAGTTGAGTTTTGTTTATTTTATTTTTAATTTTTATTTAGCATCATGACAATTACTCTAGTGTAGCTATCTCTATTATTTTACTGTAATGTAATCAGTGTAGCAGCTTTGTGACGCAGATTTGTGTTATTTTTCATAACATTTTGTCCTCAAAGTTGATGTGTTAGAAGCAGGAAAAATGGGCAGCATGAGGATTTGAGCGACTTTGACAAGAGCCACATTGTGATGGCTAGATGACTGCAGCTCTTGTGGGGTGTTCCCGGTCTGGTCCAAGGAAGGAAAAGCGATGAACAGAAGACAGGGTCATGTGCTCATTGATGCATGAATGCGGTTCTGATAGAAAGGTGTCAGAACACAAAGAACACACAGTGCGTCGCAGTTTGTTGGTATGGGGCTGCAGAACATTATGACCACCATGGTGCTCACGTAATGGCTGATCGGTGTATATATGACATAATGGGTTTCTTTAATGGGTAACAAGAGCAGATTCTTCTATTGTTGTCAATATATCTTTCACTTACTTACTTACCTCTGTATATTGAAATGTACTTTTGGTAAGTATTGATGACAGTTTTCCTTAGAGAAATATTTAAATTGTATTTCCACTTTTGTCAGATGTTGATGTAAAGTAGCAAAAATTTATATTGTCCCAAAGAATGAATGGATGTTTAAAATAACCCATTGTTTTATGGAGTTAAGTTATTCTGTATTCTAGGACTCAAAGTGACAATTAATCAGAAGTCCATAATTTATTTCCTTGAGGCAAAATATAATCATTTTCTACTTCAAGAGCAAAGAAGACAAGAGGAGAGAGGAGAACAAAAAAAGTAATTCAATTGCTCATATAAACTTATGTAACTGAGACCTATAACAGACCTTTTCTAGGCGTAG